AACTATGGATTTTAGTTAATAAAGAAAGGAATAAGGGGAAGGAAGGTCAGACCACATAGATAACAGCATACAGAATAAATACCATTAAAATAGCAACCCAAACCCAAGTGTTCAACATTACAACATAATTAATAGCTTCTATTTTATGCCTTTTACTCTGTGATGTTAACACAAAATTTCACTTTTAAAAAGTCCATGTAAAATACATTCTGTAACTATTTATTAGCTTTTAATGACTAGTTTTGGCAAGGAATTGTGTCCTGTTTGTCAACCTTCAATTGAGTTGTTGCTGTTTTGTTTTTTTTTTAATTAAAGACTTCATGTAAAATTAATGTATTCAAATGTAAGTACTACCTCGGATTTTGGTAAAGCTGCAGTTTCAGGTTTGTAAAGTGCCGGTATGCTGCCTTAAATTGATAGCAACAGCTCATTACATTTTCTCTAGTAAAACGTACTTTTTTGCTCTTCTCCCCAAGCTGGTTGTTATCTAATTATGAGTCACTGAAAGCATTTCACCACCTACAGTCATCATCACATTTTTAAAGTAATCTTACGTTACTGCAGATTTTATTTTCAAAGTTTGAGTAAAAAAAAAAAAAAAACCCTCGTCTGTTCCTGATAAGTCTCTTAAAAGTGGGAGAAAACTCAGACTTTTTATGACAAAAGAAGTTCTTTCATACAGCGGACACCAAAGCAAAGTTTGAGAGATGGATTGAAAATTGCACCCCATGTGTTAGAATCTACCCAAGGGGAATTTGTTTTAAAATCCAGAAGGTGGAGCTACATTCGTGGCTAGAAAGATTCAGGAAAATTGACTTTTGTGTATTTATGAGATTCCCTATAAAAGGATCTTAAACACTCCGCTCTTGCAAGATTTAGATGGCCATCATCCATAGACATGAAATGGTTCAGGTGATTCTGGTCCACCATGTTTAGTTGGAAACCCTGTAATTCTCACTGAGGTTCCACCTAATGTCCCTCTATGTCATCCTTGGCTATGTAGGATATATGGACAATCCAGGACTACTTAGAAACGACCCGCACTGCTTCGTGAAAAGTGTCTCTTTCCAAAATGGTTTCTAAGGATCTCAGGGACGAAGCTGGGACTTTGAATAGACACTTGCAGCACCACTGGTATGATACGTATCTTCCCTACAGGACATGAAACGTGGCCAACTCCCCCCCGCTCTGGGATCCTTTAAAGGTATAAACTATATGGGGAAGTTTCTTTGCAGCTCTGCCTCACGAGGTCAGGGAATTTGATGCCTAGGCTTATCAAGTAATGTCTATTTGACTTCCTTCATGCCAAAACACATACCTTTTTATTTTACTGAATGCTTCATCTTTTTAGGTACTTTTTTTTTTTTTTTTTATGAACACCAGCCTTTAAGGAGATATTTCAGTCTGGGTTTCTCAGGGCAGAGTTTTACACAAGCCAGTAATGAAAGTTCTGTCAACTCATTTTCATCCCCTCTAATACCTTACAGAGGAAATCTGCATGAAAATTATTAGATTTTGGCATGTAGTGACCTTTCATTTTGTAGGCCAGGAATTTGAGTTAAGCTGCATGAGCGAACATAGCCTTTCATAGTTAATGCTCATACAGAATACCACCCAAAATGATCAGGGTTAGAATAATGGTTTCTTAATAATCAAATTAAAGCAAATTTTTTTTCTGTAAAGGGTCATCTAGTAAATATTTGAGCCTTTGCAGGCCTTTGCAACTACTCAGGTATGCCAGTTGCAGAATGAAAGCAGCCACAGACAATGAGTAAGTGGATGGGTGTGACCGTGTCCCAGGGAAACTACAAAAACAGGTGGCAGGCTCGCAGAGTTTACCAACCCCTGCGTTAAAGGAAAAAGTGTCTCCTGGCCACTTCAAAAATTAGATGTTAATGGATCTGAGAACTTTTTTTTTCCTTTTATTGTTTTCAGTTACACACAAAGGGACACAAAGCATTTTTATATATTATGTTTTTATTATCTCGGACTCAGAGGGACCTTATCAGTAAGCCCAACCTGTACTCTCTTTACAAAAAGAAAGAAGGGCTATAAATCAACTTTTCCAAAACTATTCTTTTTTTGAAATACATCACCTAACTTTTCACTAGTCGACAGATCCTTTTATATCTTATTGGAGTTCATTTTACCACCTTATTTTAAAGAATGTTATTGTAAAAGTCAACATTTTGTGTTTTATCAATTTTTGCTTTTTTTGTGGTGAAGATTCTCGAGAATCTTCCACGCATACCAGACCTGGTAGTCCTGGCCCGTTCAATGCCTCCTGTTAGCAGAAATCACATACGAGGAAGTGCATAGCCCACAGCTGAAATAACCCTGCCTCATAATTTGGGAAAGGGGATGTTCTTTACCCAGGATGGCTATGTATTGCATTGGCATGAACACCTGACCCAGTGATGGCTTATCCATAGACTGATTCTTAATCCACGAGATGGCTGGGGTCCATTAAGTCAAGCAAAGTAGTTCCCCCTGTGGATCAGAAAATAAGGAGCAGTAGTCAACAGGAGGAAAAGGGAGCAGAGAGAGAAGCAAAAGTCTCGTCAAAGATTGGTGGCAGAATGGTCACCGCAGCTTACCCTCTCCCCTGTCTACCATCCTTCAATCCCTGGAAGAAGACCAAACTCCAGTACCAGAGTGGTGTATTAGGCCGGGAGCAGGTCGGTGGGAATGGTCTGGCTTAGAATCACTAGCATGGGGTGATAAAAAGAAAGAAAAAAACCTGCACACAAATGTTCCTAACAGTTTTAATAGTAATAGCAAAAAAACTAGAAACCACTTAGATGTCCTTCAGTGGGTGAATGGTTTAACCAACTGTGGTACCTACATGGAATAATACTCAGAAAAAAGGAATACATTATTGGTACAAGAACTTGCATGAATCTCAAGAGAAGTGGGCTGAGTAAAAAAGTCCTAAAAGAATACATAATAAATGATTCCATCTATATAACATTTTTGAAACATTTTTTAAAGATTACTTATCTGAGAGAGAGAGAGAAAGCACATGAGTCAGGGGAGGGGCAGAGGGAGAGGGAGAGAGAGAATCCTCAAGCAGACTCCCTGCTGAGCATAGAGCCTGATGCAGGGCTCAATCTCATGACCCTGAGACCATGACCTGAGCTGAAACCAAGAGTCAGACGCTTAACCAACTGAGCCACCCAGGAGTCCCTTGAATCAACACTTTAAAAACTGGAGAACCGACTAGTGGGTGCCAGAGTGTAGAGATAACAGGCAGGAGGGAGGTAGGTGTGGCTATAAAAGGCCAGCATGAGGAATCCTTGTGGGGTTGGAACTGTTCAGTATCCTGGCTGTGGTAGGTGGACACACAGATCTACATGTCATAAAACTGTGTAGAACTGAGTACACACAGATGAGTACAAGTAAAATTGGGGAAATCTGAATAAGGTTGATGGACTCATCAATGGCAATACCCTAGGTGTGATAGTGTAGCATAGGGTTACAAAATGTTACCATTGGGGGAAACTGTGAAAAGGACACAGGGGAGCCATCTGTATTATTTCTTATAACTGCATATGAATGTAAAATTACATCAATAAAAATTTCAATTAAAAAATGAAGATGAAACAGACAATTTCATGTTAAAAAAAAAAAACATTTAAAAAGGCAGATCAACTTTTGGTTGGTTTTCCTGACTCTAAATTCTCTACCAACAACATGCCCCCTTATTGCTTGCTCCCAGGGATGACCACTCCCACTACTCCCCAGGATACACCACTAGATAAAGACGTACTAAAAGAAAAAGTAAGATTCCAGAACAGCCAAGCTGCTCTGTAATAAGCCAGTCTCTTAATCTGGAAAATTCTGTGTCGACTCCCTTAAATTTGGGCTCCTGAATGATTTGTTGTAGCAGGGATACAATTACACTTAGACCAGACAAGTGTTAGTTTTCCATAAAGTCTATCACAAGCATGGAAGAGGGCTGAATTATTTCCAAAAACATCGGGGTACTTCTTTTGCATACTATATTCTATTTATCCATTTATCAGTTGATGGAAATTTGGATTCTTAGTTTTTGATACTATGAAAATGCTGTCTTGAACATTTGTGAACAAGTTTCTACATGGACGTACATTTTCAATTTCCCTTAGGTATATGCTTAAGAGTGTAATTGTTGGGTCATATGGTGTGAAAGGTGCAATGAATATTGGATGGGATGCCAGCAAGAAATTGGCAATGCCCACTACCCTTCCACAAAGAAATGCTCTCCCACGTCATTTTGAAATATATAGCCATCTTGATATAGCTTCCATTTTCCCTCTAGGGATAGATATGCGTATAAGAAATGTTTTACTTTCTCTTTAACTCTTATATTAGTTTCCTATTGCTGCTTATACTTGGTGGCCCCAAACAAAACGAATTAAGTTTCTTGCAGTTCTGGAGGTCATAGGTCCAACACGGTCTTACTGGGATAAAAATCAAGGTTTAAGCAGGGCTGCATTCCTTCTGGAGGCTCTAGGAAAGCATTCCGTTTTCTTGCCTTTTCTAGCTTCTAGAGGCTGCATACATTTCTTGATTAGTGGTTCCATCGTCCAAGCCAGAAGTGTAGCGTTTTCAAATTTCTCTCCTCTCTCACCCCTGCTTCTGTCCTCTCCTCTGACTCTGAGCCTCCAGCCTCCACCTTTCCCTCCCTAGGACCCTTGTGATTACATAGGGCCCACACAGGATAATCTCACCCTCCCAAATTCTTTAATCACACCTGCAAAGTTCCTTTTGTCATGTAACTTTTTTTTTTACAGGTTTTAGAGATTAGCATGTGGATATGTTGGGGCAGTCATTCTTTGGTCTAGCACAACTCTAGATTATCACATGCTGAATGTCAGTAGAGTTGATCTAAGTATCAGAAAAGCAATAGGGAATAATGGGGACTGTAATGTATTGGATAGCGCGTGCCCCTTCAAAGAGGGAAGCTACATCTCAGCTCCAGCCATCATCAACATTTAGAAACAAGGTCTCAGGCTTCCCTAATCCTCCAGTTTTGCAAGAAATTCAGAAATATCAATTATGCTGTGAAATCTCTCAATTTCAAAATCTCGGTATTTTTCAACATTGGATTTTGGACTTAGGGGGCCCAATAAATTGTACATCTTTTTCCTACTTGAGTCTGGAACAAATTAAAAGACAAGAAAAAAAGGATACAATCAAAACATCACCTTTCTGTTGGAGAATAGGACTTACCTGAGGACAGCTGGTCCTTTTAATATTGAACCTCAGAATTTGAACTACCTCCCAGTCCCAAGCAGAAACATACTCTCTCAGGGGAATCAGCTACAAAGAGGAAGATAAGAAGCAGCCACTCCACTTCCCAAGGCAGGAATGAGTGAGAGAGCCAAGAAAGAACAGTAATGTTATATGAATTGATGATTCCCCACACAGGGAACCATATGAAAGGAAACATCATGAGCAGAAATTTAGCACCGCTCCCTTAACACTTGGCACTGAGTCTGAGGTTATTAAAAATTTATTTATTTATTTTGGGGAGTGGGCAGAAGGAGAGGGAGAGAGAATCTCAAGCAGGCTCCAAGCTCAGCACAGAGCCAATGCAGGGCTGGATCCCATGACCCTGAGATCATGGCCTGAGTAGAAACCAAGAGTCGGGCGTTCAACCGACTGTACCACCCAGGTGCCCGGATTCTGAGGTTTTTAAACACTGTGTAGCCTGACATTGTCCAGGCCGAAGAAAGCATGTGTGTGGGTCAATATGGCCCATGGGTCATTAGTTTGTCTCTGTTGCATGGCCTACCAGGCCCTACCTTCCCCTCCCACCCTATCCCAGTCTCTTCCATTACTTGGCTAATGGCCAGACACTGCAGGCAATTGTTCCACAATGGTCAACAGGCAAGGGGAGAAAATTAAGTCAGCCGTTGTCTGGACTTAAGGCCAAGTCAGTATGTCTGGGAACAGCTACTATCACTGCAAGCTTGATGAGGGGAGCTGCAGAGTTACCGCAGAACTACTGTTCTATGGATCGCTAGTATGCTCTCTTCGGAGGGCAATTCGGCAGCATCTACCCAATGTTTAAGTGTTACATCCCACGACATCAGTTCTTAGAATCTATACAACAGAAATAATAACATTAATGGATGAAGAAAAAAATGAGAATTTTCCTTGCCATACTGTTCGTAAAAGCAAATTTACAAAAAGAAAACAACTAAAACGTCCACCACTAGGACAAGAAATAAATTATGAAGAAAAGAGGAGGTATCACGTTGGACTTTATGAATTATACGTTAGAAACAGTTATATATTAATTTTTAAAACTTAGTTTAAGTCAAACATGAATGCATTTTTATGTGAAGCCCTTCCAATGTAACAAAAGCTTAACAAGCCCCTTGCCCTCCATCTTGTCCCCTTTTGGTTTCCCACCTTGTCATCCACTCCCAAGGGTAATAAGAGGTAATAATTGCTGTCATTTTGATGTATATAGCTCCAAGCTTTTTCCACATTTATATACGTAAATGCATGTACCACTGGAGAATGGTATCTAATAGATACGATTCTGCGAGCTGCCCATTCTAGGCAACAGTATACCTTGGGGATTTTTTTTCATGTTAACACACACAGAGCCACCTTGGTAAGTTTAGCTGCTGTATTGCATCATATGGTATGGATAGGCCATAGTTTATTCCTTTCCCTCCTTGTGGGCAACTGGGTAACTTCCAGTGTTCTGCTCTTACAAACAATACTGACATGAATATCTTTGCCCAAACCGCCTTGTGTCTGTGTGCAAATGTTTCTCTAAAAATAATTATAGACTTAGTGGGTTTTAACATGTACACCATTTAAATATTAATATATTGCATTTCTTCTGTAATTTAAAAATAATCCTTTGTCTTAAGAAGACAGAAAACAATTCAGACTCTTGAAAATAGCAAGCAAATATATTTGCACATGGATGTACATACAGTGTACACATATATGGCTAAAGAGACCCTGTGCCAGCCCTTAAAAGAAACAAACTCAGGAGCAAGAAAGAAAAAAAAAAAAATGTGTTACTAGGCAGAAGTAAGAAGCGCATGGTGAAGAATCCATCCAGGGGATGTAGCAGGCTCCAGCAAGGGGAAGCTAGGAATGCCCCGACTCATGGACTAGAAGGCAATGGGGTGAGAAGGGCTCATCCTAAAGTCGGAGAATCCTAGAGTTGGAGGGGACTTTGAGGTTGCCTATGCTAACCTCCCGGCCACAACAGAAATTCTTCCTACAAACACATTTGGCAGATGGTTTGTAAGGGAGGTCATGTAGGGCCTGGCTTAGGGGGCGTGTTCTACATCCCAATCCAGTACTTGGCGGGGTAATGCCTTCCACTGAACTGGTCCCCTTTGATGCTGAAGTCACACGAGTAAGGAAGCATGGTCGGATTTCATGGAGGAGAAACCCTGGGAGGTCTTGATCGAGCAAATACACCCGTACACACACATTTAGGGTTGGTACAGGCTTTGGCCGATAGAACATTGAAATTCTTTTTTTTTTTAAAGATTTTATTTTTTTTTATTTATTCATGAGAGACAGAGAGAGAGACAGAGGCAGAGGGAGAAGCAGGCTCCCCGCGGAGCAGGGAGCCCGACGCGGGACTCGATCCCAGGACCCTGGGATCATGACCTGAGCCGAAGGCAGACGCTTAACCGACTGAGCCACCCAGGCGCCCCGAACATTGAAATTCTTGTTTTGCTTTCTCTTCTGCGAGGAATTTAGCTCCCTGTGCAGGTTAGCGGTGCTGCCACCAGGGGACAGAAGGATGCCACCGATTCTGTCCTGATGAGGAACTTGAAAGTTTGTGCTCTCCCCGAGATTCAAACAAGGGCTCTGCTAGCTTTGATCTCTCACCCAAGGTGTCTAGGCATAGAGCTCCAGCTTTGCCTAGAAAACGTACTATCCCATCTGTTAAAAGGGTTAAAATCTGTCAAGCTCTAAACGTGTCACGCTGGAACCCACATTTTCCAGGCCTCCGAATATACAAGCAGGAGAAATAGTGGCAGTCTGATCTGCAGCAACTCTTCCTCAGAGAAGTCACTGGAATTCCTAATCCTGCTGTTCCATTAGAGGTCTCGCGACCGCGTCTCATTTGCTTTCCTCAGCGGCCCTTCCAGGCCTCCTCTTGCCGGCCTCCCAACGCCTATTCTCCTTCCCTGGTCTCTTCCCACAATGCAACACGGGGGGAGGTCAGTAAACCCCGCAGGACGTGTTTACTTAGCGTTCACTGGGTGCCAGACACTGTGCTAGGCTCTGGGGGACCAAACGAACACAACTCTTCCCTCACGGAGCTGACGTTCCAGGGGAGAGGCAGACAAGAAACAAACGTGTTCAGACAGTAATAAGTGCTACACAGAAGTAATAATAAATAAGAAGTAATGCAGGTCTTACCAGACAGAGGACTGGTTCCACCCTCAGATTCTGCTGCTCGCCACCCCAAAGTCGACACTTGAGAGAAGAGATGGTCGGAAAGGAAAGTTGCTTTACTCAGCAAGGGGGCAGCCTGGAAAGATGGCGGACTCATGGCCCAAAGAGCTCGTCCCGGAATAGCAGGTGGTTTTTAAAGGGGAAGGCGCGGGAAATGGTGACGGGGCTACACGCAGGAGAAGCTGGTGCTCAGCAGTTAATCATTTGTCCTTGCAAGGCTTCCAGACTCCTCCACTCTGCCAGTAATCAACGCTCCCAGGTAGCTCTTATTGAGGATACCGTGGTCAGCGATGGCAGTTTTTCAGGGCAGTCGGGCCTTATCTTCCAGAAAGTCTGGTCCTTTGTTCTTCAAGGCCAGCGGTCAGCAGGATCTCAAGGGAAGTAGGTTAGTTCCGCTACAAACTATGGGGTTTAGGCCAGCAAGCAAGGAGTGCATACGCTTGCCTGTCGGAGTGCTGTCCCACAGGGGAGCGGGATCGGGAGGGATTCAAGGACGGGATGGTGGCAGGGCTCCTGTTCTCCAAAAGTGTCCAGTATTACTTACAGGCACCTGGCAGGATGGCACTTTCTAGGACCCTTAATATTAGGTATAGGGAAGGCACAGAAATAGACACAGTCCCTTTTAAGTCATGTTAAAAACTTGGGGTTCTAGGAGCGCCTGGGTGGCTCAGTTGGTTAATTGTCTGCCTTCAGCTCAGGTCATGATCCCAGGGTCCTAGGATCGAGCCCCTGGCTCAGCATAGAGTCTATTTCTCCTTCTCCCTCTGCCCCTCCTCCTACTTTCTCTCTCTCTCTCAAATAAATAAATAAAATCTTAAGAAAAAAACTTGGGGTTCTATCCTGAAGCAGTAGGAAACTTTGAAGTTTTTTAAAAGAGGGATGACAGAAGATGGGCTGGCCAGAATTGCATTCCCCACCAAAACTTAGAATAGGCAACGTTTTGTGAACAATAAAGATACACATATCTGATCATGTGAAAAAGCATCAAAATACTCAAAACCTAACACAACATAATGTAACATAATATAACATAACAACATAAAATATAACAAAACATAATATAGAGTAAAAGTGAAAATCCCTCTCACTTCTCCACACTGTTATATCAATATTTTGGTGTACATCTTTCCAGACCTTTGCCATGCTCCTAAACACACACACACACACACACACACACACAGGCTTTTTTTTTACATTAATGGGATCATACATATAGATCTAACTAGATGACTGTATTATAGGCATTCCAGTGTGTGGGTACACTATTATTTATTATTGATGTACAATTATGATGTTTCCAATACTGCATAAATATCCTTGTATACATCTAGTGTATTGTAAAGTCTAACTCCAAACCAAAGTATACACCATGTATGACTCCCTTCAAAGTATGTACGACTCCCTCTAACCAAACTTAATTTCCCTTTTAAGCCCCTTCTATTATACAGAAGTAAGATTAACCAGTCTTTTAAGGGTTATGGCTTTACTGCCCCCTATGGAATTTGGGTCACAGTTCTAGAACCTTACACAACCCAAGAGGGCTGGAGCATTTGGACATTTTCCCCCATCATCTGTCCATTTTTCCCACCAAATCCGGTATCTCTCAGCTATTCCTGTCCCACATCTGGGCACATGAAATTCTTTCTAGGAGATTTCCCATGGGCATATCCACATATCCGGATGGCATATCCCTTTTCTCCCTCAGGG